ATATAATATAAATTATAAAATATTCAATATTTAAACAACCATGATTCAAAAAAACCACCTAGGGGGCCAGGGATTTAGCTCAGCAGTTCAGTGGCCTGCCTTGTAAGTGCAAGGACCCGAGTTCAATACTCTAAAAATTACTTTGGGCAATCATTTTTAATATGTGTGTTCAATACTTATGTAATTCTTATGGTATGAAAATATAATATAAATTATAAAATATTCAATATTTAAACAACCATGATTCAAAAAAACCACCTAGGGGGCCAGGGATTTAGCTCAGCAGTTCAGTGGCCTGCCTTGTAAGTGCAAGGACCCGAGTTCAATATCCCCAAAAAAAAAAAAAAAAAAAAAAAAAACCACCTAGGTATTCTACAATGTTTGGACTACACATGTTCTTCTTGCTTAACTTTTGGTACATGTTACGTTCATAGATTTTATGTGAAAAAAAATGTAGTTCTTTCTTAGTACCCAAGTGAAATTAGTTCCAAGACTCCCCCTATTCCATAAAAAAACCCATGGATGCTCAAGCTCCTCAAATAAAATAATAAAGTATTTGCATACAGGCTACACTCATCTTATGAACTTTAAATCATCTGTAGATTACTCATAATAACTAATATGATGTTAATGCTAGTGTGACCATGAATTGCAATGTCATTTTTGACTGGAATAATAGCTACCTCGCAGATTAGTGAAGCCTACTTCTGCGTATGTCTGTAGGATGTTTCCAAAGATGAGTAACATGTGGGCCAGCAAATTGAAAGGAGAAAATCCACTCTAGTTGTAGCACCATCCCACAGACTTTCAGGGTGGATGGAATGAAAGTGAAAGCAGGAAGTCTGGATTTGAAAAGCTTCATTCTTCTTGAGTCACAAAGGTTTGTTATCACCATTGCCCATAGATGTCAGGCACCCATTTTTGTCTTGTTTTGTTTTGTTTTCAGCCTTTTAGTACAGATTCATACCAAGGACTTTCCAGAGTTTCCAGGCCTTTCGTCTTGGACTGCTGCTACAGCCATGATCCTCTTATTCCTCTTATTCTTAAATTGAATAGCTACTTTCTCCTCTGATTCCTCACATATAGACAGTCATTGTAGACTCCCCACCTCTAGTTCTGTAAGTCTACCTTGCATAGTTATGCATTTTATTTTCTATTTATTTCATTTCTCTAGAGAACCTTAACCAGTACAGCTACATAAATAATCTTTATGTTATATTTTAAGAAACAATGACAAGAAAAATAGTATTTACATGATCAGTTGATATGAAATTTTAAAGTATTTCTGACCCACTGTTGGTTGGGTCCATAGGTGAAGAACCTGTGACAATGGAGGACTAGCTGTATTTTTTACGAATGTACATAACTACATCTATGTTTTCAATAAATATGTATTACTTGCTTAAACAGCCTTAGTTATTAAACCAAGCCCTGGAGAGAGAGTGGTGTGTGTAATAGACATTCCCCCAACCTTAATAGAATTAATACTAAACAGTGACAGTAGGTCATCAAGAAATAATTAAACATACGATAACTAAAACTAACACCTACCAAATTGATGAGTATGACTCCAGCCAAATAATCAGTTGTGTCAACTGTCAATGCCAACCCTAGGCAATTGCAAATATTACCTGACAGACATCACCTTATCCAGGTGTCTTGAAGACTCACATCGCCATGTTAACTAACTCACTACCAGGATTTTTCCTTCCTAATCTTTCCATCTTTCTTTCCTCAACCCTCTGCCTATCTCCATGTCTGTTCAGATGGACTGGATCTTTTCATAGCCCTGCTCCATAAGAAAACATTGAGTCCAGGGAAATCAGCTATCTGAGTTTCTTGGTTGCTATTGTTTAGATCTGAAATATCCTCCAAAACTGTCATGTGTGTGGAAGCTAAGCAGATCATGAGGGCACTACATCATCTGAATTCACCCACTACCCAGTTCAGTTACTGAGTACATATTAGGAGGTAGAGCCTGGTCAGACATGGGTCCCTGGGGTTATGACCTGGAAGCATTTATTTCTCTCCCTGCATCCTCTCTTGGCTCTTGCTTCAAGCACATCTTGGTATGAACAACTTTCCTCTGCCAAGCTTTTCCACCATGCCCTTCCCGCCTTACAGCCAGCCAATTATGGACTGAATCTTCAAAAAATTGTGAACCAAAATAAACCTCTCCTTCTTTAAGTTGTGGGTGTCAGGTAATTTGTTCCAGTAACAAGCTATCATATGACACGCTTAAATTATGGACTTCAGCTTTCATGTCAGTTTGTTGTCTTATACAGCACCTGGCAGTTCTCTCTAGCTTAGCTCTTGACATCACACTCTTTGTTGGCTGTAGAATCTTGACATGATTGACTAGACAAAAGTTGGTATTAGGGACATTGATAGAATTATTCAAAAAAAGGAGACACTCATTAGACAGAATCAATGCAATATTCAAAGGAAAAATTTGGGGCAGGGAAGCATGGGGAACTGAAGGAGGTACATTTCCATAGAGTGAGTACATTTTTGGGGTGCAGGATTGCCCATGGTGAAGGGCACAGTTGATAAATTTTACAACCTTGCAAACCTTACCCAGACTTTGACAAGGAGTCTGGCCTAAGAACTAAGTGTCAATGATATTTGAAAGGAAGATAAAAACTTCTCAAATAGCAAATCAAGTCTAGTACTTATAAAGGGACAGGGAAAATAAAAACATAGAGCAATAGGTAAATTAAATCTTGAGATGCCCAGGTCTACCTTGCAAACAATGCCTTATAAACTGAACATTGTCCTGCCCAGAACATGTGCGTCACCCAGGATAATAGACTGGCAGGTTCCTTCTGCCCAGGGAATCACCTCATCCTAATTTTCAAGGTATTAAAGGTACATGGGGTGTGAACTGTACCTGGTTGTCCTTAAGCTGAAAACCAGGCTTTCCTGAGATAAGCTACGCGTTCTTGTGCCAGAAGAGACTCAGGCTCCTTCCTAATTCCTTCCATGTTCACACAGGCCCCAGGATAAGATGTATGGCTTCATTTCCAAATTACATTTATATCTCCTACTGTCTTTGTTGCAAACTTTAGACAAGGCGGGACCCTGTCTCTTGATTTCTCTCTCTGAAGCTGAAATCTTACAAGTGAAGAGTTTCATTTTCTCTGAAGCCCTGTTTTAAAAGCTACCACGAAATTAACAGTACAAGAACCTCGCAACAAATCTGTGTATTCTGTGTCTTAGTCCATTTGGGACACTAACAGAATGCCACAGACCAGGTAGCTTATAATAAACAGAAACACATTTCTCAAAGTTGTGGAGGCTAAGAAGGCTAAGAGCAAGGCACGGGCCTATTTAACTTTTGATTAAGTCCTTTATCCTGATTAGTAGATGGTACCAACCACCAGCAACCTTACATAGCGACAGGGGCTAGACCTCACTTCGGGGCCTCTTTTACCAGAACACTGCTCCTAGAGGGAGGTCCACCCTCATATCACAATCACCTTCCAAGGGCCCCACTTCAAAATACTATCACCTTAGGGATTAGGCTTTATTATAGTTTGGATATGAAATGTCCCCCCAAGGCTTGTGTGTTGAAGGTCTGGCTCACATGGCAACACTGCTCGGGGATGGGGCTTTGGAAAGGTGATTGCACCAAGAGGGCTCCTCGTCAGTGAATTAATCCATTGATGGATTCATACTTTGATGGCATTATTGGAAGAGAGATGGAACTGAGATGGTCTCCCTCTGAAGGGAGGGGGTCATGATCGCCTGTGACCTCAGGGATGGAGTCTTGCCGCCAACTTCATTCTCTCTCATCTGGCTGCCAAAAGGTGAACAGCTTTGCTCTGCCACACACTCGCCGTGTCGTGATGTTCTTTCCTGCCCCAGGCCCATCACAATGCCAGCTGGTCATAGACTGAAATCTCTGAATCCATCAGCGAAAATAAACCTTTCCTCCTTTAACTTGTTATTCTCAGGTGTTTTGATACAGAAGGACAAGTTAACAAAAGTTTCAACATGAATGTTGACGAAACAAAGATGATCAGTCCAAAGTACTCTGGCTATGTGCTCTTGGACCCCAAATCAACTTCTGTGTACAGTGTTACATGCCGATAAGCATCCTCCCCACGCCTTTATTTCCTTTGAGCCCAACATTTTAAATAGTAGCCCTCAGTCCATTACCCAAAATACATAGGTTTGGGGAATAAAATTCTAAAGACTCTTTCACCAAGAACCCATTCTATTTCCTGGATGCTTTGTGACTTTCAAATGCCATAGACTTTATTATTGGTGACTCCTTTGTGTCGATCTAGGGAAAAAGAGTCAGCATCATCAAATCAGACACATCTAACTGTGTAATCCAAAAAATCTGGTGTTTGAAAGATACCTGACTCTTCAAAACTGTCAAGATCATCGCAAGGAAGGAAAATCTCCCAAACTAGTCCCAGTGAAAAGAAGCCCAAATAAGCGTAACAACTAAATTCAGCATATTACCCTAGATGGAAATACTGGAATATAAGAACACTCACTATGAGAATTTTATGATAGGAAAATAGTATACCCTATAGAAAGAAACTTTACTAGCTTTGCATTAATTTTGTAAAGCTATGGCTGTTTTCAAATTAAATGTTTTTAAAGATAAACAATACAATAATTATATATTTTCCTTTAGCCAGAAATAACACTCCTTGTCATACATTTTCCAAAATTCTGTTTTATGGTTATTAAATTCAGCTCTCTCATTTCTTAAGAGACGTACAGATTTCTACTTTCTCCTGAGCAGACTGATGAGGTTATTTAAGGTTAGGTTATCTATAAATATTAGAAATGGCTTCATTTGGAGTGGAAAGAAGAACACTTAAGATCATTTTTAGTTAATTATTTATTCTCAAACTTTCTGATTCTTCCTTGTGTATATTGATCTCCGGGAGCATAGGCCAACATTTTGACTGCTTTATAAAGATTTCATTATGTTTCCTTTCTCTATATCCAAAATGCATCTTCTCGATTGACCCATTTTCTGCCATTTAATCACCTGCAGAAAAAAGATAATGCTGTTAATTTTAAGCAGTGACAGTAATGGACCACAGGGCTAATTTAAGAAAAATAGAAGCTCCCCCACTTAATAGTTGTTTGACCTTGGACAAGCTCTGCAATTTTGTTTCTTCTAGTACTAGTAACTCAGGTGTTGTAGGGATTAGATTAGATACTGCACATAATACGCTTACCTTAGGACCAACCACATAAAAAAGTCCTCACTAAATGCTAGTGTAGAGGAGAATAAATAGTCGTTTCTCAGCTATTGCAAGGTCCTGGCTGAGGCCCCTGTAAGAAAAGACAGAATAACAAATGAAAAAACACACGAATTTATGAAATGTAAATTTTATATGACACAAGAACCTTCACAAATGAAGCCTCAAAAACCTAGAGAAATATGTATTTCGATTTGTAAATCTGAATTTTTATACGTTCTAATGAAGAGTAGGCAGTCATGGAGAAGTACAATTGAACAAAAGGAGGATGATATGTTGGTAAGAAACTTAGCAGAACCTATCTTCTCAGATTCTTTTCCATGTCCATGGCTTCAAATGCTCAAGGTCTAAGGAAGAATGAAGATTTTTAACTGCTTCAGAGGAGAAAAGCTAGGAAAAGGTTAGTGGCTATCCCAGTGCAATTAAAGAAAAACAAACAAACAAACATTTGCCACATTTCGGGATAGTATGGCCTGAACCCACCGAGAGCTGATGTTCATAGGGTGGCGGCCAGCCATGAGCTTCGGGCAACAGAAGGCAAACCACAGTGATGAAGCAGATAAAATATAAATCTCTACCAAGGCTAAGGTACCGTCAATGCTGAGAGTCGAAACACGTGAGAAATGAGAGAAAGGTCGGGCACTGATGAGGTGAAGGTCGTGATAGGGTAAAATCCAGGGAGTATTTTGGAATGACGGAGTAGCCTGGCTTTTCCTGTGGCCTTATGGTGTCTGTGACATGTACAAGAGCCACTATGAAGTCAGTAAAGCTTCATATGTGTAAAGAGATGTGGCTTTGAATTTAAGGGAATTCCATTATTGCTGAGAGCCACTCCAACATCTGAGGAAGACCAAAAGAAAAGAAAAACAAGATGGAATTGTCACATGCATTTAGTTCTCTCTGGAGACCACATAGAAAATAAACATTGTGTCATTTTAACTAGTAAATACATATTTTAAATATATTTATCCATATCATATGCCTCATTTTATGTATTGATCACTATGAACCAGAGAGGTAGGTTTATGTTACTTTCACTTTAGAGAAGTAAAGTAAAGTAAGAGATTCTGTGGCAAGCCTGATTACTCAGCTAAGAAAAAGGTTTGGATGCCAATTCAGACTTTACGTGGCCACTGGCATAGTGGTGCACTACAGAGGCACTAGTGGTATAATCATGACAGTCCAGTGGATAAAATAGATGGCACAAGACAAGTACGGATGCCATGGTATCACTCAGGTAGAGATTCTCAACCAGAGGCAACCAGTTATCAATGATTGTTCACATCACTGAGCGATGAGTACATTTCGCGTGGCTCAGGTGTGTGAGATCCTTAGCAGCAAGGATTGTATCTTTTTCTTGAATAATGTCAGAAGGAGTGTGTGACCCCAACTCCATTTGACATCATGTGTTTTTGTACGTTCTGTGTTTCAGTTTTCTCATCTATTAAAGGGAGGCACTAACAACTATACTGCATCATAGGAAAGCACCTGTCTCACAAGTAAGCACTGGAGGTATGTCTGAGTCCTCCCTCTTGGAAGCTAATACCATGTCAGGTAACAGTAAGCACTCAGTAAGCATTTTGAGCCAAGATGGAGTTGTGACAATTGACTTTTTGTTTTGTTTTGTTTTTTAACTGGAAATAAGAATTCAGGACCTCCCTTTTGCCAGGCAGGCACAGTGCCACGGAGCTACATCCCCAGTTCAATAAATTTGAAAATATTTTAGAAAACCCTGGAAACATACTCAAGATTTAGATTTCCATGAGTATTCATCTCATCTACAGCTAAGGGTTTCTTAACTTCTTAGTAGAGTAGATTCATGCCATTCATTACATAGAAAGGATTCAGAGAAGTAAAATAGAATATAGAAAACAACTAAGATCAATCTGAAATTTGCAATTTCATTAGAATATCAACTGACAGAGCACTAACTAATCAGCTACAAAATTAATTCTCAAATCTCTGTATTCTAATACCTACCTCTGTGAATAAATTAGAGAACATGCTAATAAGTAAAAATGTCACAACAATCTAGAATATTCCACATAAACCTAGAGGTAATAAATGACAGAAATGAATAAATATTATTTTAAGAGAAAATATTGTTTCCTATTCTAGACTGACCCAAACTCTAATTTCATGTCTGAGGCTCATAAAACTAATCATAATAAATTCGTTTAGCTTGATTATGGGGTGCAGTACAGATCTTCAGATGGAATTTTGTTCTACTCTAATTTCATTCCACAATACCATATCATTAAAGTGAAATATTAAAGATATTTTTATTACAATTGTCAAAAAGCTATGGACAGGATTCCAAAAACATAAAAGCTTAAAATAGCTTTAGAAATCTACATTTTTAAAATGGACTATTCAAAGACATTCAACTTCTCAAGAAAATAATACATAGACTCTCATTCATCAAGTTTATTAATTATTCCAAAATTATATAAATGTTCAGCTGAACCAAAAAGCAGCAATAAAAGAATTTATATGAAAGATTAATTAGAATTAGAATATTTCCCCCTAGAAAAATTCTAAAGAGCTCAGTGTGCTGGTCTTCATTTCAATTAGAATGCTTACCAAAAAAAAAAAAAAAAAAAAAAAAAAGAACCCTTTTTCACAATCATATCTACTGTGAGAAAAAGAATACTCTCAAATCACAGTTCTTTGAGAGATGTTATAAAAATGTTTTTGGATTCCAAAATGACTATGTGTAACCTAAACCACGAAAATGTGTCTTATTTTAAATTCCCATGGACAAAATTAGTATGGACCCTGAACCACTGTTTCCTGTGGAAAATACTAACCCAGCACTGCGAATAAATTTTGTCCTAAAATTTTCATAATGTTATGGAACAGTTTTGACAATAGTGCTGCTAGTAGGAAAGATATTTTGGGTTTTGTTTTGTGTATTATTACTTCACTATGAAGTTCAATAAACTCATCATCTTAAATTTTGAATTAAATTTATGAAAGACTAAATTTTAATAAGAAAAGACCAAGGAAAAATTTGTGCCAAAGACTTATTTCCACGTACATTTTTACATTTCTTTGTCTTTCTTGTTTTCTAATATCACAGATAAAGGCTTTAGGTAAATTCAGTAGCCATAATGATAGAAACAGTGTCTCTCTGAGAGAAAAATGTTTACCAAGAACTCAGAAAGAGAACATACACATATAGCTATCAATAGAGTCAAAATTTGTGTATTTAAATATTCCTGACTTATCCACAGCTCTTTTATCTAGAAGCCCTAGAGGCCAGAATACACTTGGAATTTGAAAGGGAAAAAATGTAAGCTTTTACAAAATTCTTTATCTCACATTTTTAAAGGGGTCATTTTAGGGTTTAGCTTATCAAGTATTTTTTTCTCTGTTTTCAAATACAGCCCCAATCATCCTGATTACCACAAAATTCAGGCTATGGAGAATCCAAATAGTGATCAGCAATAGCCTTTGTGTTGTCCAGGAGGTAGAAAAATGAAAAACTGTGAAAAAGTAAGAAATAAAAACTGAACAAATGAAATCTTTGTTCTTGTAATGGATAACACAGATATTATAGACCTTCTCAGCACGTTTGAACATGATCTGGCTATAGAATTATATTGTATGATATTACAATATTATAAAAAAAATTCTTACTTGTCTTAATTGAAGATTACATGAGATGATATCCTGATAAGTTCCTATCTTACTTGGTTCTAATGAAGGTAGCAGTTCAAACCCAATACATTTTTTTTTTTTGAAAATCTGAATTCATTGGAGAGGGTCGATAAACAGATTCTGGAAATAATTTGAAACTTGGATGAATAGATAGCAAGAAGTTAGCTGCCTGTTTTTATGGCATGTAGTATGAAAATACCAATAAAATTGTAATTTTTATTTTGAGTCAGAGGATATAGTACAGAGAAAACTTTTTAAAACCTTAGGAAATGAAGAGGAAATCCTAGAAAACAGAGTTCTAAAGAGGCTGAGTTACAAAGTTTACATGTAAATTTATTTGATTATCAGATCAGTGAACCATGCATGAACAGGACAGAGTCAAAGCATTCCAAATAAAGATTTTATAAATGATACATAGATCCAAGCTGTCATCTTCAAAATAACTTAAAAGTTTATAGTTTGAATTCTAACAAGTTAACTGCCGACTAAGAGAACTTCAAAGCTCTGCAGAGGAGTATGTAACTGAACTCAGAGCCTGAATAATATAGTATCTGAAATGTTTCTGATATAATCCAAAATCAGTTGACATTTAAAGATCTGTGTAAATGTGATGCATTGTCAAGGTAAAAAGCCAGACCACCCTGAAATAACCTGAATTTTGAAATTACAAGGCAAAAGTTTTAAGAATCTCTTACAACTATGCTCAAAGAGATAAAGGAAACATGAGGAAGAAACCTTTGCAAAGAAATATAAATTATATTAAAATTGGATATTCCAAAATTGAAAAACACAACAGCTAAGAGAAATATTAAATCATTAAGTAAATGGGATTAATAAAAAATTAAAATGACACGGGGAATAATTAATGACAATGATGATAAATAAATAGAAAATGCTACGCATGAATGATCAGAGAGAAACATTTAGAGAAAGAAAAATAATAGGATATTTTGGCCCCTGGGACAATAACAGAAAGTTTAATATGAATGCAATTAGAGTTTTAGAGGAAGAAAAAGAATGTGACAAATTAAATACATGAAGATAGAATGACCAAAACGTTTCCAAATTTGGAACAAATAAATATACAGATTAAGAAATTCAATAAATCACATGCAAAAAGTATAAAAAAGCCATGCTTAAACATAAATTTATTAAGTTGATGAAACTAAAGACAGAGAACATTTGAAAGTAACTGGAGGAAAATAGCATGTTCCATGCAGGAAAACAACTGTCTGAAAAGTAGCTAACTTCGTAACAAAAACATGTGGAAGGCAGAAGAAAGTGGAACAAATAGTTTCAATGTGTAAAAGAAAAAAATAGCAGTCCCAAATTTTATATTGTAATAATACTCTTGAAGCATGACAGTAAATAAATACATTTTCATGCAAGAGAAAGAAAATTTGTCATTTTCATGTAAGAGGAAGAAAATTGACTTGTACTATAAAAAAATGCTAAAAGAAGATATTTTAGCTGCAAGGAAATCATCAGAAATTTGGGTCATCAGAAAGGAAAGTAGAACATCAGAAATATAAAATGCCCAGAAAATAAGAAAGAATATTTTTCTCTAAACTTCTTCAGTGGGAGCAGCATTGTCCAGGTAGGGAAGCCTTCTGCTGGCACCTCTTTCTTCACTTAGGTATTTCTGGGTCTTCCTGTGTGCTCTTTGACCTCATCCACTGGCCACAACTACATGGTTTCATCCTTTTACAACATTATTGTTGAATAATATGCTGTCCTAGTATGTTGTAAATTTGAAAAGAAATGGCGTGTTTGGATTTCTGTGATCATCTGCAATATCCTATGGTTTTTGTTTGATATTGCTTTTTGTTTTGCAGGGACAGTCTTTAGCGAGCCAGCTACTGACTTATCCTGAACAAATGTTATTTCATTGACTAATACATGTATTTGATCTTCTGGCCTTGGATTTTGTAAAATATTTCAGTTCTACATATAAAGTTTGTAGGAGACACTTTCACATGACTATTGGAATATTAATAATGAACAAAAGCATAATCAGTGACAATAAAATAGAATAAAATATGCAGTACCACTTATAATAATAAAATTACAAGGGGTGATTTAAATATATGGATAATGTTTAAATTTTTAAAAATTATTACAGTCTAAGAGGCACTGCTATTAATCCCCTTTAAAATTCTACTTGCTTCCAACACACTTATCCCATTATTCTTTTCACTTTCTGAAGCACTTCTGCAAGTCCTCTTTCATGAGCGTCTTTACAAGATGTGATCAGTAACTGGTTAATGCTGCTTCCAAGTGCCATGCAGAACAGAGCAGCAGGCTCATTAAAGTGTCACAGTGTGTCCTCAGCCACCTTATCCACCAGATCTAGAACCACGCAACTTCTTGCTTTTTCCCAAAAGTCAAAATGACCAATTAAAGCTAAATGATTTGAAACAATTCAGGACATAGAAACAGTAACAATGGAGCAATTAAAAACGCTCAACAACAAGAGGACTTCCAGGGCTGCATCAGAAAGTGGCAAGAATGGTGGACCAAGAGTGCCTCCAGCAAGGGGGAGCATTCGGAGGGATATTAATGGCAATGTGTATTGTAGTCATTTTTAAATGTATATTTTCACCTACTAAAGACCCCTGCAGTTAGGGTCCAGTACCCAGCCCAGTATACAACATAGGTCTGAGAAATAAATACACTAAGACAGATCTACGAGAGAGAAAGAGGGGTAACAGGATGACCAATGCTGGTGCAACAGCTAGTCCCAGGAGCTGACTTTTATTGGCAGTCAACTGGGGTAAAGGCAAGCTACATGCATTTTGTATGGAAATTAGCACAAACAGGCTCATAAAGGACAAGACACAGCATTCTTGAATTAGGAACAGAATAGGCAAACTATGTGGTTATGATTAGAACATTGTCCTTCTAGGCAGAACAGAACAGAATTTGGGTTTGTTACTCTGACCTCGGCACATAGGTTTCAGCCAGACTCACTTTTATAAACAAGCCAGTTGTGGAATTAACACTTTACAGCCTGCTCTGGGCATAATCAATAAATGGTCCTCTGCATTCACCATATTTTAGATTACATTTGTCATTTTGAGTTTATGGATTATACATAACAACTATATTATACAGGGGAATGGAAAAATTAACTTAGAAGGCTATAAGCTATGTGCACTGTTCCTAAAATATTACAATATGGACTCTAAGAAGAATGTGAAAACTTAGAATATATATTACAAATCTTAGAGCATGATGCAAATAGTTATAGCTGACCAAGATATTCAAAAGGTGTTTTAAAAAATATTTCAAATAATTCCAAAGAATATAGCAAGAAAAGGACAGGTAGATCGAAATCACAGGAAGCATTAAAAAGGCAAAAGACCTAAACCAAATCATATGAATAATTGCATTAAGAGATTATGAAATGAACACTCCAATTAAAAGGGAGTGCTTAATAGGAACTGATATAAAGCAGAGCCAAACATATGTTATCAATAAAGGGTGTACAATACTTTAAATATATACATAAAGATAGGTTGAAAATAAGTAGTTGGCAAAAAATACGAAATGCCAACTTGTTTAAAATAGCTATGTAGGGCGAAAAAAATGCCAGGCCAAAAAGAAAAAAAGAAGGCCACATTACAGTGACAAAGCATTAAGCTCAAGAAGATAATGATCATAAATATGTAAGTACCTAATAAGAGATTATCAAAATTCATAAATAAAAAATTGAAAGAGTGAAAAGGAAAAATCAACAATGCAGCAATGGTAGAAGATATTAGCAAGCCTTTTCAACAAGTCATAAGAGAAGAAAAAAATGAGTAAGTAAACACATGACTTGATCAGAGCTATTAAACACCTTGGGGGTAATTGATATTTGCAGAACTGTACCCTAAAATTACAGGATACCCTGCTTTCAGGTTCACCTAACACACTCACTCTGATGGAAGCATATGCCACACCATACAGAAAATCCCAATGAATTCTAAAAAGTTGAATTTGTAGAGTGTGTTTTTTTATCATGATGGATTTAAATGAAAATAGTAATAAACATTGCCTAAAATAATCACATATATTTTGAAGTTTAAGAAAAGATTTCTATTTCCGGTACCAAAACAAAAAGAAAAGAAAAGACTTCTAAATAGTCCATTGGTCAAAGGATTGGTTAAAAAGAAAACTATAAAATACTTTCAACTTAAGTTTCAAAATACATCTAATTAAAGGTTGAGGGAATGCACTCAGAGCAGTGAATAGAAGAAAAATTGCAAATGGAAATGGTTTTATTAGTAAAATAACCCAAAAATCCTAAGGTTTCACCTTAGGAACCTAGAAAAAAAATTAAAATTTGATCATTTAAAAAAATAAACAAGATTCATATACTCTTAGGCAGAGTAAGATAAATATCTGGGAGACATTACCAATATTAAGACAAAATGGGGCTAGGGATATAGCTTCGTGGTAGACCACTATGTATAGTCAAAGTATAATAAATTAAAAAGAAAAGAAAAAAATAGGGGCAATGTAAGCATCTTTTTACTAACAAATTTGACAACTTATATGAGAAATAGGGCAAATTCATTGAAAATGTAACTTACAAAAATGACCAAAGCATGAAATAGAAAATGTGAGTATCTCTATTAAAGAAATAAATCTAGCAGCATGCAAAGGATAATATACCATGATCAAGTAAAGTCTATTCCCCAAATACAAAGTCACACAGTTGCTTTACCACTCACCTATTTAATTTATCATATTAATAGACTTAATAAGAAAACATACAAGTATCTCAGAAATGCAAAATAAAAAGTATCCAGCAAAATTTAACCTACATTTATGATTAAAAAGTCTCAGTAAGCGATTCATGGAAAAGGATTTCCTCCAATTGATTAAATAATAACAACAAACAGAAATAATTTCATGCTTAACAATAAAAGAATGAATACCTTCTCTTTAAATTTGGTAGTAAGGCAAAAATGACCACCCTCATTATTTATATTTGATTTTGTACTGGAAGTCCTAGCAGTTGCAACAAAGTGATAAAATTGAATAAAAATCAAAACATCAAAAAATTATAAATGCTACTATAAAAAGTCTTGTATAAAATAGAAATTTGGAGTTTGCATTCTT